GGGGATTAGGGTGGAGAATAATGATTGGATTCATGTTTGGCGCCAAGGTGGGAGCACTCCAAAAGTTTATATGGGCTCCAAAACTTTATGATATCTGAAGAGAATGCCAAAAACAACTCGGAAACTATCCTAGTTACTCTCAAATCCCTACTGATAACTACAAAAACTTCACTGTTTTTGAAAGGCATAAGAATGCCATTAAAGCTGGACTCAGGAGAAAAATTCATCAATCTGACTACCTGAGTAGATGCAAAACGTAGCCTTTAAGTTTCAAAAAGAAGAGAAGAAATGAAAACAAATTTGAGTAGCCGAGTCGCCAAGTCTAATCAAGAAAGCTTTTTTAAGTTTGTTGTGTTTTTGAATTACTTTTCCATGTCTTAAATGTGCTTTAGTAAGTAGCCTCAAACGTGAGGCTGCGGTGTGATTCTGATCCACTGGTTTAGTGTTTAGAAATCACATGTACTCATGGTACATTTGTTGACTTTTATAACATGTCTTTTCTGGGTTCCCCTGCTATATACCTTGAATGAGAAGACCATTTCAGAATTTCCAGTACATTGTTTAACTGGTCTTCAGAAATTTGTGGCAGTAGTTGTTTGTCCCTTTTTGCTTTTATGTGAAAGCATTATTACAACTTGAACTTGTGTTTGCCTTTTCTGTTTTACTCTTTTCTCGGCACATGTGTTGCACATGTATATCGAGTCTTGTGGTACTTGATTTTGTATAATAATATCATCATCATTATTAAAATAAAGCTTTGAGTATATATTATACATGAAAGAATAAAGTATATATGTGAATGATCAAATTGGAATGGTTATTTGTTTGTCGAGGACAAAATAATGGAATTGTCTAAACCTACCAAGATGAACAATCAACAAGCATACCTATATTTTACAAGTTGCATAAATTACATTATATTTCATCTATATAGGAGATAAAATGAACACTTGCATGAACTTATGTTCTAATAACTTAATCTTTTCTTTGTAATTATTATCTCTTTTATTTTACTTCGTCCTTTTACAATATATGGTTTTACTGTTACTAAAATACAAACTAAATCTGAAAAGTATGAGATTGAAATGAGTAAACATTTACAAATATAATTCTTACATTCCTATATAAAAAAATTACCAAAGATAGTGCTGTCACATACATTTCTGCAAATTAAATGTGGATCATCGTATAGTGACTTGTTTGTTGATGTCAAGATGATTTGATATCATCTAAACATACGAAGATGAGACAATCCAAGTTTAATTAGATAAATATGACTTTTTACTTATTTTTATTTTATGAGGTACAAACTGTAGTGAAGCGTATCTTAACTAATACTTTTTTATAGACGATATTCTTGGCGTATGTTCATTTCATCTATTTTGATTGCTCTGTCATGACCTGGACTCTTTGTTGACATTGATATCCTCTTGAAAGTGCAACGTAAAATTAGCCATGTGAGAGAACATATTGTGGTAGATACGTTAGAAATTGTTTGACCATATATTTATTTGTCATCATTACAAAATATAAACGTACAATAAATTATTTTTGA